CACCTTACCTGCAGTAGTATTTCTCACTGCCAGATTGCAGGTTCAGCAGCATGTCGTAGATGCGCCTTATTCATAACCCCTCTCGTGTGGACATGGTACTTGTTCATTGTCATATTAAGGGCGCTGAGAAGTCCCGCAGGGAAAGCACCCTTAACCTGTGTAAGGTGTTCCTTATTTGAGCTTAGAAGGTAATTTTATTATCCCACTTCGTAGCATCCTGTTACTAGAGCTGTGTCCCATGGAACATTTAGAGACCTAGCATAGGAGACTTTTCTTCCATCCAAGACCATCAGGGCAGAAGCCAAGTTCATCCCAGAGTTTATAGGCCTGGTAAGGCCTGTGTGCACATGCATGCTGGGGTGCATCTTCACATGTGGGTGTGCCTATATAGGCCCAGGGTTGCCATGGCATTCTTCATCTTGCTTTCACATTGTTCTCTGAGGCAGGGTCTCTCAATCAAACTCCAAGCTCATCAATATGGCCATTCTCACGCCCATCCTCCACCAGGTTGCTGTGTCCCCACCTTCTAGGCTAGAATGACGTGCTGGAATGACGTGGGGCCACTTGGTATTTATGGTTCTGGAATCCAGACTCAGGTCTTTGGGCTTGTGTAGAGCAAGCACATAACCACTAAACCATCTAAACCATCTCCTGGCTTTTTTTTTTTTTTTTTTTTTTTTTTTTTTTTTTTAATCTTTGTGTATATGTGGGGTTTTTTATGTTGTTGTTGTTTTGTTTTTGTCTTGTGTGGTTTTGTGTGTGTGTGTGTGTGTGTTTTAAAGACAGGGTCTCTTGTAGCCCAGGCTGGCCTTGAACTCACTATATATTATATATAATCAGAGATCACCCCGGACTGCTTACCCTCTTGCTTTTACTTCCAAAGTGCTGTGATGACAGGCCTGGGCCATCACACCAAGTTCCTGTGGTGCTGGAAGTGGGTTTCATGTATGCACTGTACCCGTGGAACTATGTTCCGAGCCCGGTAAAGCCCCTTTCCGAAGAGGGAGGTCGTGCCATGAACAAAACAAAGTTAAAATGAGGGAGGTGAGGGCTGTGCTGGCTTTTTAAAAACTTGATATTACATGTTTTAAAATATTAAATTATGTGTCTGTTCTCTCTCTCTCTCTCTCTCTCTCTCTCTCTCTCTGTGTGTGTGTGTGTGTGTGTGTGTGTGTATTGTATGAGGGTATGTGCACATGAGTGCAGGTGTCCACGGACTGCAGCAGAGGGCATCAGATCCTCTGGAGCTGGAGTTTGGGGCAGTTGTGAGCCACACAGTGTGGGGGCTGGTAACCTAACTTGGCTGCTCTGCCAGGTCAGGAGGTGCCCTTAGCCACTGAGCCATCCCTCCAGCACCTTAAGTCAGATATGTATTTGTGTGTGCATGTTCTCTCTCTCTCTCTGTCTCTCTGTCTCTCTCTCTCTCTCCATGGAATGCTTACGGAGGGAGGACCAAAGAACAACTCAGATGGTTCACTTCTCCCCTCCACCATTTTAGTCCTGAGATCAAGTTTCAGTCAGTCTTGGCATCGAGTACCTTTACCCACTGGCCCTGTGCTGGCCTTTTGACAGAGCAGACAGGGAAGGTTTCCTCTCCAAAGCTCTGAGGAGCCCAGTAACCTGAGGCAAGAGATTATGGAAGCCTCATTCAGGTTGAGCATCCCTTCCCTCTGGTACCCCAGAGCTTTCTCCTTCCTTCATTACGCTCAGCTGGCCGAATTATAATGTCCTTTCTTCTTGTGTGTCCCTCCAATCCCTTGCTGGCCCTCATTTGTCCTCCCCTATGGCCTCCTTGTGACCACAGGGTTGGCCAATAGTAGTTGCTCATTAAACTGGAGTTTCTCCTGGCTGAGTCTTGGCAGGTAAGGGAAAGCCCATCGGGGTTGGGCAAATAGTTCACACTGTAAAGATCTTGCCTTGCAGAATGCAAGGTCCTGAGTTCAAGCCCCAAAACCTACGAAAAAAAAAGAAAAAAAAAAACCAGATTGGGGCTGGGCTGGGCCTCTGTTGGTCAAGCATGTAGGAAGCTGTGGATTTTATACGTAACATCACAGAAACAAGGCATGGTGGTACATGTCTAATCACAGCACTTTAGAGGTAGAGACAGAAAAAGATCAGAAGTTCAAGGTCATCCTTCCCTCCATAGCAAATTCCAGACTAGCTGAGGTTAGGAGACACTTAAAAAAAAGTAAGGCGAGGAGGTACACATGAGCTATAATCCCAGCGCTGTCCGCAGTACTTGGCAAGCCCAATGGGAGGTGTGTCTCAGAAAAGGTAAGGAAGGGGCTGGGGACGGCTCTGTGCTTCAGGCACTTGCTGCTTTTCAGAGCTCAGATCCCAGCACCCACAGCTATGTGTTTAACTCCAGGGATTTTACATCCTCTTCTGGCCTCTGCTGGCTCCTGCACACACGGTACATGCATGTGTGGACTGCATGCGTGACTGCGTGCGCACGTATACACACACACACACACACACACACACACACACACACGGAGGTTGGGGGATAACATGCTTGTCCTCTGTCCAAGACAAGGCAGGTCTCGAATCCTCTTTATGCCATCTGGGTCCCCACACCGAGCCCTACACCTGCTGTTGAACCAGACTCCCAGCTGTTTTCCTCCTTAGTTTAGCCTTAATCCTTTGCCTTGAAGCTCTACTTGGAACTTTTTTGAGACAGGGTCTCACTATGTAGTTCTGATTAGCCTGAAACTCAGTGTGTAGACCCAGCTGGCCTTAAATTGTTAGAAATCTACCTGCCTCCTGTGTTCTGAGATTAAAGATTAAACCACCCTTGGTTTAGTTTGAACTTGAAACCTGCAATAAAAACAACAACAAAATTCAAGACAGGTTCTCATGTAGCCCAGGCAGGCTAGCTTCAGACTCTGTGTATAGCTGGGAATGACCCGCAGCTTTTGATCATTCATCCTGCCCCCCCTGAAGTGCTGGGTCACCACACCCAGCCACTCAAAGTAAATTCTATTGTGCCTTTCTCATGAAGGGAGCCCCTGTCCAGGAAAGGACTAAATCATTTGTGTGAGGTTTAGTTTGTATCACCGACACCTGGCTGAGAATCTTATTAAATTACCTGGTCTAACCTTGACCTCTGTCAGTAGCTCAGGCTGGCTTCAGAAGTTCTCCTCCTTCAGCCTCCTGCTTCTGGAATGGCAGATGGGCACAACCAGATGTGGGCTACTGTGTGCAATGGTGAGGACCTGGGAGGCAGCATTAGGTCTAGGCTCCACCCTTGTGAGGGTGTGGGCCAAGAGAACCATCCATGTGCCAAATGTCTTGTTTTGGTTTTTGGTTTTGTGGGGTTTTCCTCCCTAAGACAGGGTTTCTCTGTGTAGCCCTGGCTGTCCTGGAACTCACTCCATAGACCAAGCAGGCCTTGAACTCAGAGATCCTCCTGCCTCTACCTGCTGAGTGCTGGGATCCAAGGCATACAACTCCACCGCCTGGCCTATGTGACAGATCTTAAGGGCACTCTCTACCCACACCATGTGTCCTGGCATAGATTGTCAGTACCAATAGACGTGGTGACCTCATGCTTAAAATCTTGGGGAAGATAAGACAGGTGGATTGCTGTAAATTGAGGGCTGGATTTCCCTGTTTGGTGAACTCAAGGCCAGCCAACGCTATGTAGTTTGACTCTGAAAAACAAAACAAAACAATACAAAAAACAAAAACAAAAAAACCCCAGAAAGGCCCTGGAAATGTGGTCTGGAAGGCTTGAACTCTAGCCTCAGCATCCCATAAATCAGGCATGGTGGTATACATCTGTAATCCTAGCACTCATGAGGTAGAGGCTGGAAGATCAAGGCTATCATATGCTATCAAGGGAATTTGAGGCCAGTCTGAGTTACATGAGAGCATCTCAAAAAATTAAAATAAAAATCAGAGCCCAACAGCACTCTGGATCTGGATATATATATATCTTACCTAGTTGTCTCTTGGGGAAACTGAGACACCAATTTAGGGAGGGGGGTTAGCCAAGGCTGGCCAGTGTGTTCCAAATCTGAGGATAGGGTGCTATGTTGGGGCATCCTATGTTCTCCCATCCTCCAGGCAGCCAAACTCTCCCTGCTTGTCTTTGTGGGGAATTTGAAAAGGGTTTGGTCCCTGTGAGGCAGGGGCAGCTGGAAGAACCAAGCAGGGGATGGCTAAAAGAGGAAAAATAAATCAAAGAAACTCGGCTGGGATCACAGGCTTGTGACCTGAATTATAGCAGCTGTTGAAGCAATTGGTTGGAGGACCTGTGACCCTTGGGAGAGGCAGGGGTCAGAAGAGATTATCCGAGGGTCCTGTGGGCTGGGACAGCTGAGGGTAGGGACAGCTGAGCTGGTAGCTTTTTTCTAAGAATAGCCACACTGGGTCCCCGAGACCCCGGCTAGAACCCCTTCTTGTGTTTTAAGCAGAATGACAGGTAAGGTGGGTTGGTCACCTCTAAGGGCCTTACAGAGTTATGCCCTATAACTGCGTAGGCCTGCCAAGACACTTTACAGAACTGTTTTGCATCCATTTATTATGGAAGGGACTGGTGGCATTCGTACCATGGTATACATCTGGAGGTCATTGGAGGTCAAAGGACAACTTATAGGAAAGTTCTTTCCAGCATGTGGGTTCCAGGGATTGAATTCAGGTCATCAGGCTTGGTGGCAACCTCTTTACCCACTGAGCCATCTCACCAATCCAACTTTTGCTTTGTTGTTTTGTTTGCTTTTTGAGGTCCTGAGGAGGGAACCCCAGCCTCATGCAAGTGCTCTAACCTGTCAGCCACACTCCCAACCCCTCCAGTATGTCCCTGAGAAATTCAAACATTGGCTACCCCTGGGTGGGAGCCAGAAGAATGAGAAAATACTCTTGAGTTACCCACTGTCCAGAAGGAATAATCCTCACACCTCAGATTCCCCATCAGATAACTGACGCCCTCCAGCTCTGGCTGGCAGTCCCCCAGTTCCCAGGCTAGCCCTAACTGCTGCCTCTTAACTCATCCACAGGGTCTCCCCTGCACAAGCAGGCATCGGGTCCCTCCTCGGCTGGAGCCACCAACGCCGTCTCTGAGAAGCCAGGTCCAAAGGCGGCTGAAGTGGGTGATGACTTCCTGGGGGACTTTGTGGTGGGCGAAAGGGTGTGGGTGAATGGTGTGAAGCCAGGCGTGGTGCAGTACCTGGGCGAAACACAGTTTGCACCAGGCCAGTGGGCCGGCGTGGTCTTGGACGACCCTGTAGGCAAGAATGATGGCGCTGTGGGTGGTGTCCGCTACTTTGAGTGCCCGGCTCTACAGGGCATCTTCACACGGCCCTCCAAGCTGACCCGCCAGCCCACAGCTGAGGGCTCAGGCAGTGATGCCCACTCGGTGGAATCTCTCACTGCCCAGAACTTGTCCTTACATTCTGGTACCGCCACGCCCCCGCTCACCAGCCGAGTCATCCCCCTGCGGGAGAGTGTTCTTAACAGCTCCGTGAAGACGGGCAATGAGTCTGGTTCCAACCTCTCCGACAGTGGTTCTGTGAAGCGTGGTGACAAGGACCTCCACCTGGGAGACCGTGTGCTGGTAAGTGTGGGTAGTTCCTGGCTGGACGAACCACCTCTCTGTCTTCTACCCCTCACCCCCTCGTGCATAAGCTGGACCCCAGAGGCCGAGCAGAGAAGGGACTCGAAGGGAACTTGAACAAGGTCCAGACTGAGGCCACATTCCGAATTGGTACCACATAGAACAGCAGTGGAGAAGACGTAGACCCTGGAGCCCGTTGCTGTGTGACCCTGGGCATATGTATAAACCTTTCTGAGTCTCAGTTCCCATCTGTGTCTGTAGGAGAGGAAAGATGGGTTTAAGCATGTGACTTGGGGAGGGTTCAGCTCCATTGCTTTGGGTCAGGAGGGAAACATCGTGGCTGAAGGCATGGCGGGAGAAAGCTGGTAACCTTGTGGTAGCTAGAAAGAGTGAGGGGAGGGAGGGGTGCAAGCCTGAGTGCACAGCTTAGGGAGACATCAGAACACCCAAAGTGACTACTTTGTCTGAGCAGGCCCCACCTCCAAACGGCCCATCCCGCTATGAACTCGTCGTCGGTTAACGTGGATGCCCTCATGATCAGTCGCTTCTCAGTAGTCCCCTAGCTGGGGACTGAGCCTTTAACACTTGAGCTTGTCTTGCGTGTGGGGGTAGGATGACGTTTACATCTAGTCCAGTTCTTACCTTGTTTTGTTTTTTCCAGACAGGGTTTCTCTGTGTAACAGTCCTGGCCATCCTGGAACTCACTCTGTACACCAGGCTGGCCTCGAACTCACAGAGATCTGCCTGCCTCTGCTTCCCAAGTGCTGGGATTAAAGGCGTGTGCCACCACCGCCCTGCTCTTCTTTTCTTTTAGACAGGGCCCTGCCATGTAGCCCTGGCTGACCTGGAACTTTCTCTGCAGACCAGGCTGGTCTTGCTCAGACACCAAGCCCAGCCATAATACTTTTTACAAAATGGGAATCTCTGCTGGGGCAGTAGCTCAGTTGGGCCAGTGCTTGTCTGCCAAGCACAGCTCCCAGGGGTTGATCCCCAGGACCCCATGAAACAACACACTGGCACACACCTGTCATCTCAGCACTTGGGAGCTGGAGGCAGGAGGATCAGAGTTTTAGGAGAACCTTAGGTTGAGACTGGAGGACAAGATGAGCACTTCTGTCCTGCAGACCAAGGACCTCAATTCTCTCCAGCACCCCCCTACTTCACCCTCCTGAGACTGGCAACCGATATGGCAGTCTCCATGGTAGAGACTTCCAGAACTTTCCGTGGGGAAGATGGTCAGTCATCTGAGAAATTGGAGAAGGCACTTCAGACAACCACTGAATATAGGGTCATGAATATTCATATCACTACAGATATTCTCTGGGAGACAAATATGTGTTCATGAATATTCATGTGTTCATGAATATTCATCAGGGCAAAAAGGCTCTGGGGGGAGTGAAAAATATGGTTACTGAAATAAGAAAATGCCCAGACGTGTTAGAAGATTAAGAGAAGTTAGGAGTGGTGAGGCATGTCTGTAACCCCAGCATTATAGGGAGAGAGGCAGGATGGATGATGACTCTGAGGCTTCAAAATGAGATTCAGTCCAACCTGGGCCTCAGAACAAGGTTCTGTCTGGACAACACACAAAGGGCTGGGGCCATACAGTTAGTGAACACTGTACAAGTACGAGGACCTAAATTTAACCCCCAGAACCTGCTTGTGGAGGTTCCTGCTTGTATCCCATATCCGGGCAGGTGATACAGGAGGCTCCCTGGGGCTTGCGGACTGGCAGCCGAGCTAAACCTGTCAGCTCCAGGTTCAGTGGGAGATCCTGTCTCACAGACTAAGGTGGAGGGTTATTAGGACGTACCTGATGTTGACCTCTGGTCTGAATGCACATACATACAAAGAGAAGATCACACACGCGCGCGCACACACACACACACACACACACACACACACACACACACACGGAACCCTGCCATTTTCAGTAAAATAAATGGAACTGGAGGTGATGTGAAATAAATAATAAAATAAATGGAGCTAAGGTCCAGTGAAAATAACACAAATACAAGGAAAAAGTTCTTGTTTTCCAAGCAGAGTAGATGACAGTCACTCAAAATAGCATATGTTCACTTTCTCTCATACACACACATGCTCAGCACTCACACACACATTTAGAATGATACCACTAGCTTGCTGTTTATCTTAGGATGGCCTTGAACTCCTGTTCCTCCTGCCTCCACCTCATGAGTGATGGGATTACAGGTGTGCACATCTAACAGAGCTGGAGTTGAATTCCAGAGCCTCCTGCCTGCTAGCGGAGCAATCTCCCAGCTGAACTGCATCCCCAGAGCTCTAATGTATTTATCACAAACAATGGAGGGGCCTTCAAAAACTACATATTAAAAAAAACCATGAATATGTCAGGGAGTAGAAACAGTAGTTCCCTGATGTGAACAGTGCACATTGCAGACATATGGACACTGCACACACGATCACATTGTACCCCATTTGTAAGTACAGCTATTGTCAGTTAAAAAAAAAATGAGGATTGCTGAAGTGCGGACTATTCTTATGTGTCAGTTAAAAATACATTAAAAGTTTAAAACAGAAGTTGCAGCAGAAGCCTGCTATTTAGAGAGATGGGCACGATTACGGAACCATTCCACTGAAAGAGGAAATGGTGTTTATTTTGAGAGGAGAAGCTTCTGGGCTTTGAAAGGTGGCCTGCAGCAAGCAGTTCTGATGGCCGTGTGAGACCATCAGAAAACCCAGATATTTACATTATGACTAAATTCAGTATGAAATAGCAATGAAAATGATTCTATAGTTGGGGTCACCACAAGGTGAGGAACTGTATTAAAGGGCTGCAGCATTAGGGAGGTTGGGAACCACTGGTACACTGGTTAGTGGTTTGGTTTGGTTTGGTTTTGTACTGGTTAGTTTTAACTGTCACAACCTAGAAGCAACTGAGTTGGGAGTCTCCAATGAGGAATTATGCGGGTCACACTGGCATATGCTCATGTCTGGAAAGGGAGTGGTCTTGATTGTGAAGTGATGTTGGAAGACCAAGCCCACTGTGGGTGGCACCATTCCCTAGGCAACAGATCCTGAACAGTATGAGAACAGAGAAAGCTAGCCGAGTGTAACAAGCAAGCAAAGGACTCCTGCATTTGCTCTTGTGGATATGATGTTTTAATTTCCTGCCTTGACTTCTCCACAGTTTTAGGCTATAACCTGGAATTGTGAGCTAAATAAATCCTTTCCTCCCCTCAGTTGCTTTCTGTCAGGGTGTTCAATCACAGCAACAGAAAGGAAATTAGAAGCCAGGTGGTGGTGTCACACCCCTTTAATCCCAACACTCAGGAGGCAGAGACTGGCAGATCTCGGTGGGTTTGAGGCCAGCCTGGTTTACAGGCTCCAAAACAATACAGAGAAACCCTGTCTCAAAAAACAAAACAAACAAAAATAGAGCTATATACTTTTTTTTTTTTTTAGCTTTATTTTAAGGTGTGTGTGTATATACATATGTACATGTCAGAGCACTGCTTGGAAATCAATTTTCTCTGTCTACTGAGGGTTCCAGGGATTGAACTCAGGTTATAAGTCTTGCAAGGCTTTTTGCCTGCTGAGTCATCTCACCAGCCCTACTTTTAATTTTCCTGTAGTGTTGGAATGGAACCTAGGGCCTCATGCATGCTAGATAAACTCTTTACCACTGAGCCACACCCCAGCCCCTCATTGGAGGATTCTAAGTGGGTACTGTACCACTGGTCCATGCCCCTAACCCCTTACTGGGGTATCCTAGGCAGGGACTTTACTACCCCATTCCTGAAAACTGCCTTTGTATTTTTACTGAGAGCATTTCCCAAGGCTGTAGCATCAAGTGGATGCTACGTACATACAGCATTTAATTAGCACAAAAGTTCTTTTGGTAGATGAAGATGCTGAGTTTCGAAGAGGTTCTGTAACTTGCCCAAGCTCATGCAACTTGCAGCAGAATTTGAGTTCAGATTTTTGTGTCGCTCCAAGCCTGTGTCCTTCCACGTGACTGCTGGAACCTGTGTTCCTCCCAGCTGTCCGTGGGTACCTCCTCTTTCTCATCTGCCCTTTGCCAGGCTCAACCTGTGTCCCCTGCATCCTCTGGACCTGCCTCTCTCCATGTGCCAACAGGTTGGTGGGACGAAGACCGGCGTGGTACGGTATGTTGGGGAGACGGACTTTGCCAAAGGCGAGTGGTGTGGCGTGGAGCTGGATGAGCCCCTTGGGAAGAACGATGGGGCCGTGGCAGGCACCAGGTACGATGGGCTCTCCTGATGATTGTCAGAAGGGCTGAGGGTAGGGTGGCAGAGGAATCATGGCCACGGTGTCCTGCCTCTTATATTCTCCCCTCCTCCTTTTTTGAAACAGTACTGTGCAGCGTAGGCTTCTGATTCACTATGTAGCAGAGGCTGGCCTTGAACCCATACCCTATGGCACCTCTCCTCCAGGGTTTTCCTTCTCTCTGCAAGGGGCCCCTGGGGATAGAGAGCTGGTTTGGGAGGTAGGCCAACTGAAGATGCAGCTGGGATATCCTAGTAGTTTTTGTAGGATCTTGGAGTATACAGTCCCGGAGGTCCCTTCTTAATGTTGCTGCTTCTACTGTGTGATGGACAGCAGGTTTCTTAACCTGCTCATAGCTGTAAATTCTTGGCAGTCCCATCCTCCTAATCCCCTCCCTCCACCTCTCAAGTGCTGGGATTGCAGGTGTGCACCACCGTGTCTGACTCCTGCACCTGGAGGACTCTCACCTTGGGATGTGGCTGGCAGGGCCTGAAGAGACACCTGTATCTTTGGGGCCCTGGTATGGAGTAGGAAGCTGGGGAGACCCCTAGTAATGATGGTATCACCATTGCTCTGTCATGCTCCCCAGGTACTTCCAGTGCCCACCCAAGTTCGGTCTCTTTGCGCCCATCCACAAGGTCATTCGAATTGGCTTCCCGTCTACCAGTCCAGCCAAGGCCAAGAAGACCAAACGTATGGCTATGGGTGTCTCAGCCTTGACCCATAGCCCCAGCAGTTCTTCTATCAGCTCTGTCAGCTCTGTGGCCTCTTCTGTTGGTGGCCGGCCCAGCCGTAGTGGCCTGGTAAGGGTAGGATTGGGGAGTTGGAGAACTCTGATGTTAAGGGTGAAGGTAGGGTCAAGTGTCCTATTCTATCCCCAGCTTGCTCTGATTCCCTTAGTTGGGGTCGGGGGTGTGGGAATGCGCTCTCTTCATAAGAAAAATTGACCCATTTATATGCTTTGTTGTTGTGTTGGTCACATTCCCTGAGTAAACAGTGCTGGGTAGATACAGGCTAGGAGTTCCAAAAGACTGTCTCAGGGACCCTAGGTGATGAGAGAAGAGGAGGCCACTCAGGGTTTGGGCAGAAGGACTTCAATATAGCTTGGTCTAGAATTGGAGCTGGCCAAGGTGAGGTACCCGTGTTGGAAGCTGACTCTCAGACATCGTGTTGAGTCAGCAGCAAGTGAGTTTAGGGCATCTTAGGTCTCTGGCAGAGAAGCACATTCTGTGTTTGTTACGTGAGGCCAGTGAGAGTAAGCTGGGCTACACCATCACCAGTATGTTGAATCCTGCCCACGCCCACTCTCTCCAGCTCACAGAGACCTCTTCACGTTACGCCCGGAAGATCTCGGGCACGACAGCTCTGCAGGAGGCGTTGAAAGAGAAACAGCAGCATATTGAGCAGCTGCTGGCTGAGCGTGACTTGGAGAGGGCAGAAGTAGCTAAGGCCACCAGCCATATCTGTGAGGTGGAGAAGGAGATCGCCCTGCTGAAGGCACAGCATGAACAGGTGGGTGGCTGACAGGCTCCAGGGTGTGCGGAACACCTTTTCCCAAAGGGCTGCAGAAGCTACAGGTGGTCATTCAAGCTGGAAGCCTAGAGCACACTGTGCAACCTAGAGCCAGCTCAACAGTGTGGAAAGTGTCTCTCCTAGTGAGCTCGATTGGTTTGGGCCTCTTAGCAGGCAGCTTGTCTTGTCTGAGAGCTTCCCCACACCCCCACACTTGTATAAGCTTAAGGGGAAGGGCCGTGGTGAGTTTCGTCAGTTTCAGGGACTTCCTGAAGCTATTGAGTTGTTTTATTTCCTGAGTTTTCACAAACTTCTCTACAAGATGGACTGTTTGACTTCCCTTTAGAGCATCCTGCATTTTAACAGACTTCCCTCCAAGTTAGGATTCCCTCAAGGGACCCATCTTGGAGGGAGGCCCACAACTACTTCTCAGCCTTTTGGCCATGATCAGGCGCAGCACCGGCTTTTAAACCTGTGCTTCCTGCTTTTAGTTTTCCAGCGCCAGCGTTTTCTAGGTCAGAGGAGACTGACTTTTCTGGTTTTGTCATCGTTTTAGACAGTCTCCCTTTGTAGCCCAGGCTGGCTTGGAGCTCACCCTGTTACCCAGAGTAGCCTCAAACTTTGCATTCCTGCCTCCTCCTCTCAAGTGCTGGGATTACAGGTGTGAACCAGCGTTCCTGGCCCAGTTTTTCTCTCTCTGTTTTGTTTTTGTTTTTCAAGACAGGATTTCTCTAACTGTACTGGAATTCGATCTGTAGACCAAGTTGGCCTTGAACTCAGAGATCCACCTGCCTTTGCCTCCTGATTGATGGGATTAAAGGCGTGCACCACCACTGGCTGACCAATTTTTCTCTTTTTCTAAAAACTTTTGTTTGTTTTGTGAGAGAGGACTGACTATGTGTGCCATGTGTGCATGTGAAGATCAGAGGACATTCTCTCCGTCCATCATGTAGACACCATGGATCGAACTCTGGTCATCAGGCTTGGTGCCTGTACCACTGGGCCATTTCCGCCCCCCCCCCACAACTTCAGTGATAGTTGAGGTAGTGGGGCTGAGGTGTAAATAGCTTAGTGTGTATAGCTTAGTGTGTAAATAGCTTAGTGTGTATAGTGTGTTAGCTTGTCTCGTGTGTATAGGCCTTAGGTTCAATCCTCAGCATATCACACACACACACACACACACACACACACACACACGAATTGCCATTTATTAAAATTAACCATGCTGTGTCTAGATTCATAACTGAGATGCTTATCTCTGGGGTAGGACTGCTCACGTTTCAGATATTGCTTTGTGTGGCACACACATCTGTGGGGTGTATTTCAGAGAGTCCCCTAAGCCTAGGGTTTATTGTTACCTACTCTGTCCTTTTTTCCCCCGGTGTTTGTATGAATATATGTTTGAAATACTAGAGAGCCAGCCTTAGGGTTTATACATGCTAGGTTATGTTCCACCTCGGAGCCAAATTTCCCAGCCTTCTGCTTACTGTATAGCACAGGTTAGCCAAACTCAAGCTCTTCCCCTCCCCAAGTACCGCGATTACAGGGCTGGCCGCCACACCATACGACGCTTGTCTGTCATCTGAGGTCCTATTCTGGGCCCCTATGCCTATTTGTGAGCTACCTTGTCCTTCCCCGGGTGCTGGCGGCAGAGCGGGGGCTTGGATTAATATAGTCACATCAGGGTTGAGATGGAGTTAAGTTGTAGAGTACTTGCTAGAGTCCCCAGTGAGGGATTGGGGGTGTGGCTTAGCATTAGAGCATTTGCCTAGCATAGCATATACAAGGCTCAGTATCAAAACAAAACAAACAGAAATAACTATCATAAAGTCAACCTCATATATATGCTCAGAGGGGCCTAGCATGCACACACACACACACACACACACACACACACACACACCATGGGGCATCTGCTTCTTTACCCTGCTGGGTCTCCTCTCTTCCTGTCCGGTTCACTATCCCTGCCTGGCTGGGGCCAGCAGGGAACAAGGGCCTCTTCTCCTACACCTGCCCTGCATCTGTACTGTCCCCACAAGAAGGCTGGAATTGACTTGACCGTGTCTGGGCCTTGCTCTGGGCCAGTATGTTGCAGAAGCTGAGGAGAAGCTGCAGCGGGCACGGTTGCTGGTGGAGAACGTGAGGAAAGAGAAAGTGGACCTGTCCAATCAGCTGGAGGAGGAGAGGAGGTATGTGTCGGGCACCTGCTAGGCCAGAGTGTGTCATTTCAGAGCCCAATCAAGGAGAGGCGGGGAGGGAGAGAAGAGGGGAGAGTTGCGAATGGCAGCATAGACCTGTCTGTAATCCTAGCACTTGGAAGCTGAAGTAGGTGGATCAGTAGTTCAGCCTAGCCTGGGCTACCTGGGCAGCCTAGCACAATAGCCTTCAAACAAAAAACAAACAAACAAAAAAATGTGGTTGGGGATAACTCAGTTGGTAGAGCGTCTGTCTGGCATACATAAAGCCTTGGGTTTGATTCCCAGCACCACATAAACTGGGAGCTGTGTTATATGCTTGTAATCTTAATGTTCAGAAGGTAAAAGAAGGAAGAATGGGAGTTCAGGCTCCTGATCAGCTGTGTAGTGAATTTGGGACCAGCCTGGGCTACATAAGACTCTGTCTCAGAAAGAGAGGGTTGTATGTATGTATGTGTAATTTTTTTTTTTACAGCAAGGACTTGGACCAGGTACAGTGGCTTATATTTATAAGCCCAGCACTAAGGAGACTGAGGCAGGAGGATTGCTGACAGTTTGGGGATAGCCTGGGCTATATATAGCAGTGCCAGCTAGAGCAACATAGCAAGATGTTATCTAAACCCCTCTGAAGAAGGAGCTGGAGCTCACTGAGAGGATGGCTGTTGAGCCTGTTTAAGACTCAGTTTAATCCCTAGGCAGGGATTGTACCCTTGGGTTCTTTTTTTAAAATATTTAAAGCCAGGTTGTGGTGGCACACGCCCTTTAAATCCAGCACCAGGAAGCAGAGGCAGGTGGATCTCTGAGAGTTTGAGGCCAGCCTTGTCTACAAAGTGAGTTCCAGGATAGCCAGGGCTGTTACAGAGAAATCCTGTCTTTAAAAAAAATATATATATATATATATGTGTGTGTGTGTGTGTGCATGTGCACGCGCGTGTGCAAACATACATGCGTGCACGTGTGTGTATGTGTATGTGTATGCATGCATATGTGAACATCAGAAAACTCCCTGTGGGCATCAGTTCCTTTCACTGTGTGAGTCCTGGGGAATCAAACTCGGGTCGTCAGGCTTTGTGGCAAGCACCTTTACTCACTGAGCCATCTTGCTGACCCTTATATCAGTTTTTGAGACTGCAGGAGTTCCCCAACTCCTGGTTCCCTAGAAAAAGTCCTTAACCAGGGTCAGGGACAGGAGCACTCTGATGCAGACTCATGGACCCATGGAAAGATACAGGCATTTGTCCATCGGCCCCAACCAGAGATGCAGGACCTGTCTTATTTATTCCTGGGTCTCCTGCTGGGATACAGGGCTGGTCCTGTTACCTCTTTCCCAAAAGATGACAGTTTCTGTATGGCCCTTCCTTCCCCCATGCTGGCAGCAGCCCCCAGTCTTGACACCCCCATTTGCATCTGTGTTGGGCATTCAGCCGAGTCCTACAGTTACTGTCTCACTAGGGGAAAATGAGGGTTTATTTATATCTGTGTGAGATGGTAGTCTGGGCCCACACATCTGGTTCCCATGGTGATGCATCTCATGCCAGAAAACAAAAAAACAAAAAACAGTCTTTTAAGGCATCATTGAGGTGGGGGCTGGCAGATGGCTCAGTTGGTAATGTGCCTGCTGCGAAAGGACCTGAATTCAGATCCCAAGCTATAAGACAGGCATGATCACACATGTTTTTAACCCCTGCATTGGCTGTGCAAACACCTGCAGATCCCCAGAGCTCCCTGGCCAGCTTCAGTGAGAGACCCTGCTTCAAAATCTGAGCCAGGCACCTTGGGATGCGCGGGGTGGGGGGGATGGGTAGAGGCAGGTGAGTTCAAAGTGAGCCTAGTCTACATAGAGAGTTCTAGGCTATGCAGGGCTATATAGTCTCAGAAAAACCAGACAACAGTAATAACAATGGTAAGAGCCTCTAATAACAATAAGAATGTGGAGAGTGATAGAGAACTTCACCCTGATGGAGTTCTGGGCAGGGGACAGGAGGTAGCTCAGCGGATAAAAGTGCTTTCATCACAAACATGAGGACCTGAGTTCAAATCCCCAGCACCCATGTAAAGCTGGGTGTGGCCACTTGTACCTGTAACCCTGGTATGGGACACATGGGGCAGAACCACGAGGATCATTGGGGCTTTCTGGCTGCCAGTCTAGCTTCAGGTTCAATGGGAGTAAGACAGACAGTGACAGCAGGACATCCAATGTCCTCTTCTGGCCTCTGGGCTAATGTACACACACATATATATACACCAAACGGTGGCCTGCCTCTTCATCACACACACACACACACACACACACACACACACACACACACACACGTCATCATCATCAACTGAAACAACAACAAACCATGGCTTCCTACCCTCACATATGTAAACTGTACAAGCTCAAACATACCTTTTAAATTCAAGATAAGACATCATGGGGGCTGTGTTCATCAAGGGCCTGGGCACAGGGCCCGGCATCGTGTAGCATTGCTTTATGACCTCGGGTTTACTGTCAGCTGTCGGCAAGCCGTTTGTGACGGCAGTATGAGATAGTGCTGTGTCCCTGTCCTGTGCGTGTTTGGCATGTGTATGCGTGAGCATGTGTTCCTGAAGGGAGCCCCCGACTCCTGCCTGCAATGGGGTCCTGGGGGAGCTTCTGCATCAGTGGGCAGCCCAGGAAATGCATGCTGGGACCTCAGCTCTCAACTTTGAGGAGAGTGGAGTTAGCAAACAGGAAGCCCCCTGGCCTCCCTCACCCTCTTTGCTGAGACAGGGCCACATGACACAATATGACACAGTGTGACCACTGAAGAGTCACGGTCCTGATGTGCTGTTTTTAGACAACATCTCACTATGTAGCTCAGGCTGGCCTCCAACCTCCAGCCCTCCTGCCTTGACCTCCCAGGGCTGTGCACCAACACACCTGCCTCAGACTATTGTCCTCTATTTTCCACGGACGTCCTGAGAGGAAGGAGGCTTGTATTCAGTACAGTAGGCTTCCAGAAGGTTCTTCCCCTCCTCAACTGCAGGATTCTGGGTAGTCCCTGGCTATGTGAGAACAGACCCTTTTGAAGTTTAAGCTTGGTCCCTGAGATCTTCTGATGCCTCCATCTTCATAGCTGGCCTAGTGCTCATCCACTTGCCTTTATGCATTCACATGCATGTGTGCGCGTGCCTGTGTGTGTGTGTGTGTGTGTGTGTGTGTGTGTGTGCATGTGTGTGTATGTGAGATAGAGAAAGGGCTGGGGCTGTGGATGGACCTGGGGACCTCCCAAATGTGTTAAGCAACAGCTCTACCACTGAGCCACACTCCAGCCCCTCACTGAGGGATTCTAGGCAGGGGCTCTACCACTGACCATATCCTTGGTTGTCAAAGTCCACCTCTGCTTCTTTTCCTGCCCACAGGAAGGTGGAGGACCTGCAGTTCCGAGTGGAAGAAGAATCCATCACCAAAGGAGACTTGGAGGTAAAGGGTGCAGTCCTTCCCTGCTCGTTTGGCACTATGGGCACAGTCCTTGTTATGGGCAATGGTCTTGGCATCCAGGCAGCAAGCCTAGACCTTCTTGGGGAGGCTTGGATGACTCAACAGAAAAATGGGGAAGAGTCAAAGAAGGCCCCTTCCTCAGGACATCTGTATTAGAAACGGGTATGGTTGTGTTCCAGGAATCCAGGAAACACTGTATTGTTGGTTGAAAGTAGAGTTGGGACAGACTGAGGACACTGACATTTTAGACACTGACATTTTAGATCTTTGACTAACAACATAGGCACCAAACTAAGAACAACAGAGACACAGGCCTGGCATGAAGGAACAGTTGGGATCACAGACTTTACAGATGGCAAAACCAGGGCTCACTGGCTAAAACTGGGGCTCACTGGCTGAAACCGGGGCTCACTGGCTGAAACTGAGGCTCACTGGCTAAAACTGGGGCTCACTGACTAAAACTGGGGTTCACTGGCTAAAACTGGGGCTCACTGGCTAACACTGGGGCTCACTGACTAAAACCGGGGTTCACTGGCTGAAACCGGGGCTCACTGGCTGAAACCAGGGCTCACTGGCTAAAATTGGGGCTCACTGGCTGGAGCTGTACCTCAGTGCTTGCCTAGTCCTCATGAGCTCTCGCTTCCATCTCCAGTACCACATAAACCAGGCGTGGTGGCACAAGCCTGTTAACCACAGCACCAGGGAGGTGGAAGAAGGAGATTGAGTCCAAGGTCATCCTCAGCTATCTAGTGAGTTTAAGGCTAGCCCAGGCTACATGAAACAAACAAACAAAGGACCAGAGCTCAAGAAGGTAGAGACTGTCCCAATGATGTAACCAACTAGCAAATGTGGGCACCAGAGACAGTGATTATTGGATCCTGGTCCAGCCTGTACCTTCTCCATTTTGCCTCCTGTATACATGGTGTAGACACAGCCAGGATCGTCCCTAGTCAGTAAACACACTATGCTGAGTCAGGGGTCATCTTTTCCTGGCCCTAAGGCCTGTAGGAGACCTCTGGAATTGGGAAGCCACCCTTGGCCACTTTTCCTGTTGTGTCTGTTGATGTTCCCACGGAAAGGAAAGAGATAGAACTCCTGGAGTGGCCAAGCGGGACAGCGAGCTAAACTCTGCCTGCCATGTTTCTGGCCTGTCTGGCCTCTGGAGGACACTTCCCTTTGGCAGCCCTCAGCTTCCTCCACTGTAAAATGGAACAGTTGAAGCCCATTACAGGTTGTCAGGCCTGAGTGTCCGTCCCTGTGGGACCCAGTGGTCTACATTTGTGACTAATTCCCAAGTCCCTGAAGAACATTAAAAGTCCCAGCCATAGGACATTTCTCAGTTCAGCTCAAGATTGGTCTGGGCTTGGTGGTACCCTAGCTTTCTAGGGTGGCTGAAGGAAGGTGATTGCAAGTTCAGGGCTACATACCACGTCCAAATCAGCCTGCACTTCTCAGCAAGACCCTATCAAGAGGAAAGTCAGAAGGGAGCTGGAGATATTGCTCAGTCAGCAGAATGTTTGTTTAGCTTGTGTGAAGTCTGGGGTTCAAATCTCAGCATGATAGCGCATGCCAGCAGTCCTAGTATAGGGAGGTAGAGGCCAGAGAATAACATTAAAGTCATCTTTTTCTACATGGCAAATGCAAGGAGGCTAGTCTTGTCTACGTATGGAGTTCTAAGCCAGGCAGGACTACATGGTAAGACCCCCATCTTTAAAACAAACAAAACAAAACAAAAAAACTGGACATGGCAACACACACCTGTAATCCCAGACCTCAGGAAGTAGAAGCAGGAGGATCAAGAGTTCAGGGCCAGCCTCAGTTATGCTGTGGATCTGAAGGCAGCCTGTGACAAATGGAAAATGAGATCCTGAAAGAAAGGACAGGAGGGAGGGGAGGGGAGAAGAAGGGAAGGAAAGGAAAAAAGACAAGGCCAGCGTTCTTACCCAGCCTGAAGCCATTGTGATTTGTGTTTTTGTTACAGCCAAAGGGATAGGACAGGTGGTTGGGCTGGCTGATCTGATGGGCAGCAGCCCCCCTGCAGAGGACAGATGGGTGGGCTTGTGGGGAGGTGGGGGCAGCCAGAGCTGAGCCCCTTCCACCTGCTTCCATCCACAGAGGCTTAGGCGCTGAATGATTACAGGGAGATGCGCACGTGCACGCCATCCAGGGCCCGCAGTTCAAGGAGCTGGAGCCTGGGTAGTGCCAGGTGCTCACAGACCCTTAGTGACTCCGGGTCAGCTTGTCTGTCTGCCGCCTGTCTGTCTGTGTCTCTTACTACATCTGCTCCCTGTTCCAGCCTGCCAGACATTACCACCCAGTTATCCCCTGGAGAGAATCTGGTAGGTTCCGGGCCTGCCAGTTGGCTGGTGCAAGCATTCAGGAAGGAGGACAGGACAAACAGCCACACCGCAAGTTTAGCGGGCTGTCACATCCTGTCTCGATTTTATTTTATTTTATTTTCATTCTAAAGACTAAATTGTGACCATCTTCAGAGCAACCAGAACGTGAACCATGCTAAAGTCCAATTTATCCCCACTCACTCTCGGCTTAGTTTAGGTTTTTTTGAGACTGCCCAAGTTGGTCTGGAACTCAGAATTGTCCTGCCTCAGCCTGCAAGCATCAGGGTTGCAGGCTTGTAGCCATGCTGTTTTCCCCACCCATCTTAAAAGACAAACCAAGAGGCTATAGAGATGGCTCAGTGGTTAAAAGCACTCACTACACTTCCAGGGTTCAGTTCCCAGATGACTCACAACCTCCTGTTTGTCCAGCTCCAAGGGTTGTAGCACCCTCTTCTGACCTCCATGGGGACCTGCACATAACCCGTGGACACAAACACATATAGCACATTTTTAAAATCAAAACTAGCTGGATGGTGGTGGTGAACACCTTTAATCCCCAGTACTCGGGAGGCGGAGTTCAAGGCCAGCCTGGTCTACAGAGTGAGTTCCAGGACAGCCATGACTGTTATTCAGAGAAACTCTGCCTGGAAAAAACAAAAACAAACAAAAATGTCAAAACTAGCATCACAGAGGTGGCTCAGTGGTTAACAGCACTTGCTGTTATTGCAGAGGACCTAAGTTCAATTCCCAGCACCCACATGGTGACTCACAGCCATCTACAATGCAACTCCAGTTCCAGGAGATCTGATACCTTCTGGCCTCAAAGGGCACTGCACATACATGGTATTATACATACACAAGATATGTACTGGCTCAGCAGTAGAGACCCACATTGGGGAGCCTGGGAACGTAACTCAGGAGAAGAGCATCTGCATAGAACCCCCTAGTTAGGGGCCATGGTGAGAATAATCAGCAGAGAGCCCGAGGAGTTTGGATCCCTAGCACTCTCCTTAGAAACCGGCCTGTGCATGTCTGGCCCTGTTGCTGAGGAGAAAGGATCCCTGGAAACCAGCTGGTTGGCTTAGCCAATGAGCCTCAGTTTCAGTGAGAGACCCTTCTCCAAAAGCAGGGTGGGGAGATGGGTTAAGGCCTGGTACCCACCTCTGGTCTCCACATGCACGTGAACACACAGGCATACATACCCACACACACAGTCAACACTGAAAACCTGAACCCAGTCCTAAACAGAACCCCCCGTGGGCCAGGTTGTCACCCCATCCTCTACTGTCTTCATGGCTAAACTCGTCATTGCTTGTTAGGCCTTCCTCTCTCTCCTCTGCTGAGTATTAGTATTAGGTATTAGGTTCCAGTCTTTCTGTCTCCATGACTGGCCACTTCTTCCTGGCATCTGAATATTATCCCCAGTGTCTAAGCCCCGCCCACCCCTTCAGACTTGCTGTAAATCTGAATATTATCCCCAGTGTCTAAGCCCCGCCCACCCCTTCAGACTTGCTGTAAGATTGTGTTGTGTTGTGTGAGGGGGGTGGAGGATGTTGCTTTAATTTGTGTTTCCTCCCCTAAGGGTGAGTGGCACCCTCTACACTCTTCCAAGACGAACCTGGTTTCCAGTCTGGTCTCCTAGGAGTACCCCAGGGTGCATGTCCTCCCCACCTCCCTGCTTACTTGCAAATATCCATCACAGGCCATCCAAATGCCAACTGTGTGCCACCCAGAGAATGTCATGCTTTGTTCTCAAATGAAACGGGCGTTGTAAAGAGGGGACAAAAGTGCCCTTGTATTGAACAGAGACCAGGCGTCCTCTGCAGAGCCTGGGGAAGGGTGAGGAGGGGGAGCAATGTCCACTAAGCAAGGCAGGAAGGGCAGTGATGTTAGCCCAGTCCCCACCCAGGAGGTCTGCCCAGGAGAATCAAGATGGCCTAAGTTGAATTAGGCAGGGATGGTGGCACATACCTGTCATCCCAGCACCAGGGAGGCTGAGGCAGAAGGATTGCAGGTTCAAGGGCATCCTGGATTACATACTGAGTTCCAGACCAAACTGGACATAGTACAGTCTTTATGCTTGGAAAGTGGGAGTTAGCATTGGTAACATAGTAAGCCCTGTCTCCAAAACAAAACAAAGAACCCTAAACCAAACAAAGTCAAGATGACTTGGAAAACCCTGTCCTGTTGGTTTTTTCCCCTTGAATTCAGGCCCAGGTGTCCTGAAGTCCCGGGCTCATTCATTCATTCATCCTGCGTGCAGGGTGCTATAGCGCTATAGCTAAGGCTTCAAACTGGAAATGAGGCATATGCCCTCGTGTAAACCCAGCACTTGGTAGGCTGAATAGCAAAACCTTGGTTCAAAAGACCAAAAAAATAAAACAGGTGTCCCAGCACGCAGGAGGCAGAGGTGTGTGTGAGCTCAAGGCCTATAGAGGGTATTCAGGGCCATCCAGAGCTCTATAATGACCCAAAAAAAAAAAAAAAAAAAAAAAAGGCTGGCCAAATGGCCAGGTAAAAGTACTTGCTGCCAAACCTGACAACCTGAGTTTGATCCCTGGGACCCACATGGTGGAAGGCGAGAACTGACTCCTGCAAGTTGACTTCTAATTGCCCTCATGTGCATAGTGGCGTGTGTGTGTGTGTGTGTGTGTGTGTGTGTGTGTGTGTGCGCGCGCGCGCGCGCGCACACACACACAGGGAAAAAACTGTAATTAGCAAAAAAGAAAGAAAAGGCTGGGCATGTTGGCACACTTCTTTGATCCCAGCACTCAGGAGGCAAAGGCAGGGGAATCTCTGTGAGTTTGAGGCCAGCCTGGTCTACAGAGTGAGTTCCAGGACAGCTGGGACTGTCATAGAGAAATCCCGCCTCAAACAAAGCAAAAGAAAACCCTTAAAGAAGTCCACAGGCTCCCAGGGTGGCGGCAAGAAAGAGCAAGGCTTGACAGCAATGAAGGAAGCTGGGTAGCCATTGCCCCTGACGCTGGCAAGAGCTGGTTCCCACAGCCTCCTCTGCCTTGAGTATGAGGGGAGGGCAACCGGCCCCCCACGCACCCCACTTCTGAGATCTCTCTGTCTTCCCCAAGTGACTCCGGCTCATTGATCTATTTCCACAATCTTGTTCACTGAAGATGACGCCTCCTCTCTTTCTCTCTTTCTCTTTTTCTTTCTCATTCCCTTTCTTTCTTTCTCCGGCTTCCTGTTCCCCATGCCCTCTTCCCCACACCCCTGCCTTCCTTGTCCACCCTGCCATCCCTCCCCCCCCCCTGGGTGGAGCAGACCCAGACCCAGCTGGAGCACGCGCGCATTGGGGAGTTGGAGCAGAGCCTGCTATTGGAGAAGGCGCAGGCCGAGCGGCTGCTTAGAGAATTAGCGGATAACAGGGTAAACTGCGCCCGCCACTGCCACCCACCGCGCCTGCCACCACCACACCTGGCCAGCACCGTGGCCCCTCGAGACCCCCCTTTGCCTTTTCTCATTTCCTCGGCCATCTTGATGGCTGCTTAGAATTTCTGGGAGGGAAGTTGAGTTTTTGAGTCAGGCCCCCTGTGGCCAAGTGGTGCTCTTTGGGAAGAGGGTGTCCATCCTCTGGGATTGTTGCCAGGTCCATGGCTTCTTGAGCTGAGGCAATTCTTTGAGACCTTCCCCCTTGCCTCCTTCCTGTCCATTGCCACAGAGAAGCCTCCCGGGAGTGGTCTTGGTGGTCTTGGGTGGACACAGGCTTCCTTGTCCATACTGCTGAGGACAGAGAATGGGAACACTGATCCAGGGTGCTGTAACCTCGAGGGTCTTAGGGTGTAGCAGAGGACCAACGTGGAGGATTTTTATATGTTGGGATATCCCCAAAGGAGGAGACTACATAAGTCTACAACATAGCCATGTAATACGGCAGGGAACCCCTGAGGAGCTGCATTTGGGGGAATGGTCCAGTCAGTGCGAGGGTGTTTCTGTGTTCCATACTCCAGGCCCAGCTGGCCCCTCTACACCTGTTGTACATGTACTGTACATATGTCCAGATGGCTGGCCAGCCCAGCTATCTCTGCTGGGAGGAGTTTAATCAGGCAGCAAACATTGATCAGGAAAACCACCCTGCAGACAGATGGGAAGCTTGAGACAGATCTCAGTTTCTGCATGGTGGCCACAGCGCTGTGCAGAGCATGTAGGTGTCAGGAGACACATGGGTCTGTGTGCACACTGGCCATTGCCTGGTGATCGTACGCACTGTGTGTGCCAGAGTGCTGTGTGCAGGAAACTCACTAGATCAGGTTAGCACCCTCTAGACAGGCTCCTCCAGAGTGCAAGTCAGGAAAAGTTTATCCAGGTGGGCATGGTGGCGCATACCTGTAATCCCAGCACTTGGAAAGCGGAGTCAGGAGGATTGCTGAGATAGGCCTTAGCTTCTAGAAAATTCTAAACTCAAACTTCTGCACCAAAGGGTTTTAAGTCACCTGAGCAACATGGACACTGTGGTTCACTCCATCATTTGGGGCACAATAGGATCCCGGAGGAAAGCCAGTACCTAGTGAGGGATAGGCACCTTCCTGTCATCTGACTGCCCCCCATCAGGGCTGGCGTATGCCCTGCACTCAGCCTCAGCCACTGACCTGTCTCCCTTTCTTTCACAATAGCTGACCTCTGTGGCCGAGAAGTCCCGGGTGCTGCAGCTAGAAGAGGAGTTGAGCCTGCGGCGAGGTGAGATCGAAGAGCTGCAGCAGTGTCTCCTCCAGTCAGGCCCACCACCCCAGGACCACCCGGAGGCCGCTGAGACCCTGCGGCTTCGAGAGCGGCTGCTGTCGGCTAGCAAGGAGCATCAGCGGGGCAGCACCCTGCTCCAGGACAAGTACGAGAAGATGCTGAAGACCTACCAGGCCGAGGTGGAAAAGCTCCGGGCGGCCAATGAGAAGTACGCGCAGGAGGTGGCAGACCTCAAGGCCAAGGTTCAGCAGGCCACTAGCGAGAACATGGGACTCATGGACAACTGGAAATCCAAGCTGGACTCGCTGGCCTCTGACCACCAGAAGTCCCTGGAGGACCTGAAAGCCACGCTGAACTCTGGCCCAGGCGCTCAGCAGAAGGAGATCGGAGAGCTGAAGGCACTGGTGGAGGGTATCAAGATGGAGCACCAGCTGGAGTTAGGCAACCTGCAGGCCAAGCACGACTTGGAGACGGCCATGCACGGGAAGGAGAAGGAGGGCCTGCGGCAGAAGCTGCAAGAGGCCCAGGAGGAGTTGGCGGGGCTGCAGCAGCAGTGGAGGGCACAGCTGGAGGAGCAGGCCAGCCAGCACCGGCTGCAGCTCCAAGAAGCACAGGACCAGTGTCGGGACGCCCAGCTGCGTGTGCAGGAGCTGGAGGGACTGGATGTGGAGTACCGTGGCCAGGCTCAGGCCATAGAATTCCTCAAAGAGCAGATCTCGCTAGCCGAAAAGAAGATGTTGGATTATGAGATGCTGCAGCGGGCTGAAGCCCAGAGCAGGCAGGAGGCAGAGCGGCTGCGGGAAAAGCTTCTGGTGGCTGAGAATAGACTCCAGGCCGTCGAGTCCCTGTGCTCAGCCCAGCACAGCCACGTAGGCCGCACTCTGCTCCTGTGGGACTCGGCTGGGGAGGGCCCGGGAGGGTGTGTGGCCCTGTGTGCCAGGTGGGGAGCATTTCCCTTGTGCTTGGAGCTAGCTGAAAGAATCCCAGAGGGGGTCCTTCCATCTCTCTCACAGCCATGGTGATCATTGAGTGGTCTGAGCTGACCCTGCTGGTCCTTCATAGACAGGCTTTGAGAGCCATTGAGGCACCATTTTGCCATCTCCTGAACCCTGATTGCCTTAGACAGTTAAAGATTGCAAGTTCAAGGCCAGGCTCAGTAACTTGTGAGATTCTGTGTCAGGGGTAAAATTTTTAAAAATGGGCGGAGGGTGTGGCTCAGTGGCAGAGCACCTGCATGGCTCAGTGATAGAACATTAGCCTAGCATAAGTCCTCACTTATGTCCTGAGTCCCATCCGCAGTATGACAAAACAAACACACATGTCCAGTGTCTCCTGTTGCTGTTCTGGTACCCAGTACTCAGGTGCCACTCACTAAGTGGACATACATGCAGAAGGAAGCTCTATCCCTCCCAGGCCCTTGTCTCATCAAACACCTACCCAGGGACCCAAAGATGACTCTTTTGCTTCTAGAAAAGCCACAGCCACCGTGACCCATTTTGTTCCAAATCTAGAAATGCCCAGCTGCCTCGTTCTTGCTCTAGCTTTGAGGGAGCCCTGCATTGGTCCATTTCAGGATTTATTGTGTTTAATCGTGTATGGGTATGCACATGTTGAGTAGCAACGCCCACAGAGGACCAGAGGCTTCAGATCCCCAGGAGCTGGAGTTCTGTTAGCAGTGAGCCACCTGATTTGGGTGCTGGGAGCCGCACTCAGGTCCTCTGCAAGTGTGGTAACACTCTTACCTGCTGGTCCGTGTCTCCAGCCTCCAGTAACTCCTTTAAAACAAAGTTACAAGGGGCCAGCTAGTGGCTAACTTCTTAAACCACGCATAGTCTCTGCAGTGCGCTGTCTAGGGAATCAGTTGTCTGTAGCCTTTCTCCCAGGAAGAGACATTTCTTATTTGTTTGTCTGAGGTAGGGTCTCAGGCTGGCCTCAAACTCACTCTGGTAGCTGAGGGTAACCCTAAATTTCTGATCCTCTTGCCTTTACCTCTCAAGTGCTAAGATGACAGATGTGAGCCATGATGTTCCACCTTGCTGCTATGTATGTGTGTGTGTGTGCGCGCGTGCATACATGTTCGCACATACACGTTTGTGTCTGGGATGCATATGTGTGGAGGCCAGAGGTTAACCTTGGGTACCATCTACTTTGTGTTCTTTTGACACATTTAACCTGAGATAGGCTAGGCTGGCTGTCATCCCACCCAGCACTGTCTGGCCTCTGCTTCCCAGTGGGGGACTGAAGGTGTATACCACCACACTTGGCTTTGCCCAGTTTTTTTTATGTGGTTCTGCGACCCAATTTCAAACCCTATTGTTTTAAAGGCAAGGGCTTTACCAACTGAGTCATCTGCTCAGGTTGTAAATTTTTCTTTTTCAATCACCTTTTTCTTCCTTGGCTCCTGGGTTTACTATTAAATAAGTATTGGGAAGAATGCAGTTCAGTTTAGGGAAGAACTCACTTTAGGGATGTCCTTAGAAGAGCTGGCTCTAGGCTCTGCTGTATACGTTCATTGCTTGTTTTCTGATTGGGGCATCAAGACTGGTGTCCTGGAAAGGACTGGAAAAATTCCCAAGGCGGACACCAGTTTTGATGGGCGTTGGTGGTGCACACCTTTAATCCCAGCACTCAGGAGGCAGAGGCAGGCAGATCTCTGTGTGTTTGAGGCCAGCCAGGTCTACAGAGCCAGTTTCAGGACTAGCAATATAGAGAAACCCTGTCTCAAAAAAACAAAACACACACACACACACACACACACACACACACAGAGAGAGAGAGAGAGAGAGAGAGAGACCGATTTAATATAATAAACATTTTTTTAACCAAGGAAATATCCATACCAGACATGGTGACCCAATGACATAATTCCAGCCACTGAGGAGGCTAAAGTAGGAGGCTAACAAGCTTGAGGCTACAGAGTGAGCTGAAAGCCGGTTTATGCAACCTAATGAGTCAACAGTGAAAATGAAAAATTAAAAAGGGTTTGGGCTGTGGCTCATCTGTAAAGAACCTGCTTAGAGTTCCCAGCGAGGGGTTGGAGCATGGCTTAGTTAAAGCACCTGCCTAATATGGAAAATGTCCAAAGTCCATCCCCTGTTCCTTACTCCCCAAAATACTGGTTCCTGGGCTGCTGGGGAATCCTTTGAGGGAGCTGGAAGCCAACCTGGGATTCTCTTTTCTAAGGAGAGTCCAAATGTGTCTGCGCCACCTGCTGGAATATGGAGTCCCTGCATCCCTAAGGTCCCTTCTCACAAGTTGAGGTATTAGAGCTGGCCTGGGTAGGGTGGGAAGTATGTCCCCTTACAGGACTGTCCTTTCAGGTGATCGAGCCCAATGACCTTTCTGAGGAGAAGATCCGGATGAAGGAGACTGTGGAGGGTGAGTAGCCTCGGGTAGGAGTTGGGGAGTCCAGGCTATGTGGATGTCCCCTTGGAGCTGAGTCACGAGGTCTGTCATCAGCTCCTCATTGTGTCACTTGCCATGTGCAGTCGTCACCCCGACAGGACAGGGTTAGGGCCTGTGAGGTGGCTCTGTGGGTAAAGACACTGGCTGCCAAGCCTGAGGAGCTAAATTCTATTCCCTGGCTGGCACATGATTGGCAGGAGAGAATTGACTTTTGCATTGTAAACAATTAAAAGCTGAAGGACCTCTGTCTGTTAGAGAGATGGGGAACTAGAGGACGTATGCTAAAATTGTGAATCATAGTTGCTTTGTTCTGCAAGTGGTGAACAGTTTTGTTCTTTTTTTTTTTTTTTTTTTTTTTTAAGGTTTATTTATTTACTATGCATACAGCATTCTGCCTGCATGTATCCCTGCACACCAGAAGAGGGCACCAGATCTCATTACAGTGAGTCACCATGTGGGTGCTGGGAATTGAACTCAGGACCTCTAGAAGAGCAGCCAGTGCTCTTAACTTTTGAACTGTCTCTCCAGCCCCTGGTGAACAGTTCTTATCTTTGAGGCTGTTCCAGAAAATCTAGAAAACAGGGTGTGAAGTAAGATGGGATTGCAAATGGCAGAAACCCCTCTGTCTACTGTTGGCTCTTATAACTTGTTTGGTTTTTATTTTACCTTATTTTTGTTAATTAGCTATAAACTAACCAGGCACGGTGGCAGGAGCTTATAATTCCAGCACTAGGGAGGCTGAGGCAAGATTGCCATGAGTTCAAGGCTATCCTAGGGTACATATGCAGACCGTCTTAAACAATGTGATGGGGCTGGAGAGATGGCTCAGAGGTTAAGAGCACTGGCTGCTCTTCTAGAGGTCCTGAGTTCAATTCTCAGCAGCCACATGGTGGCTCACTGTAATGAGATCTGGTGCCTCCTTCTGGTGTGCAGGCAGACATGCAGGCAGAATACTATAGACATAAATAAATCTTTAAAAAATAATTATGTGAGTTGGGCTTCCCACGAGATCAAGGATAGCCTGTGCTACATATCAAGATGCTATTTCAAGAAAAGTTGGTATATGTTGGGGCTGAGGATGTGGCTTGGTGGAGTGCTTGTCTGGCAACACATAAAACTGGGCATGGTGGTGCATGTCTGTGATCCTTTGGAAGTGGAAACAGGAGCAGAAGTTCAAGGTTAGCCTCAGCTATGTAATATGTTTGCGTACAGCCTGGGCTGTGTGAAAGAGATAGGTGATAAACTAATTAACTTGAGAACTATCCATACGCTTCGATGCATCTTCCTGGTGGGTTTGGGAAGCAGTCCAACACAGGATCATCTTGGTACTTCTGCAGCCGCCATCTTTATTTCACTCTTTTGCTTAAGGAAACCAAGGAGGTGGAGATTCATGTTCCCTAAGCCACACAGTGTTGGGTCATCTTCCTGTGAATGGGTGACTCGGACAAAGAGAAAAGATCTTTGACTCTAGAGGCTGAGCGTGACCCCTTTTAGGACTCCCCCAAGAGGGTCACCATTGCCCTCACTGTTAACCCTCAGGTGTTCATGATCCCTGTCTTCTTTTTCTTGTAGGCCTGCAGGAAAAACTGAACAAGAGGGACAAAGAGGTGACAGCCTTGACATCCCAGATGGACATGCTCAGGGCCCAAGTAAGTGGTAAGTCTCCCTCGCTGGGGCAGCTGTAGGGGGTTGGTGGAGGCTGGCTCAGTGGCTCTGTAGGTCCAGCTCGGCTGGTCGATCTCCTGGGCTCTGCTGAGTGATTGGTTATGTGGAAACGATGGCTTCCTCCCCCCCCCCTCCCCAGAGCTGACTGAGTACATGCCCCTAGATCCCACCAAGTTTTCTCCATGGCCGTTTTGAAGACTTGAGTTTCTCACATGCCTCTTCCGTGCAGCCCCTTAGTCCCCGGGAGAGATAGGATGGTCTGTAAGAAGCCTGGCATGGTGTTGCACACCTTTAATCCCAGCACTCAGGAGGCAGAGGCAGGAGGATCAGGAAGTTCAAGTCTGTGTTGAAATTTTGGGGCCAGCCTGGGCTATATAAGACAGTCTTAAAAGAAATAGAACATAGAATCTGAGCCACAGCCAAAAGTAAAGTACACGGGGGGGGGGGGGTCAGGAGTATGGAATTGGTGACTGTGGGACTCCCTGGTTCAACGTGCCCTTGGCCCTGCTCCAGGAAACTTGCACACACACACTCACTCACACTCTCCTGGGAGACGGTCCCCTCCCCCACCCCCTTTCTTCCAGCCCTGGTTACATTTACCTGGCCTCACAGATCTTGAGAAAGGTCAGTGGGCTGTAGACTCTCCAGGCCCAAAGTGAAGACTTAACTTCAGCCTTTTCCATGTCTGAATAACAGTGTGAAAAACAGTCATGGTAGGCTGGGCGTTGGTGGTACATGCCTTTAATCCCAGCACTTGGAAGGCAGAGGCAGGTGGTTGGTCTACAAGAGCTAGTTCCAGGACAGCCTCCAAAGCCACAGAGAAATCCTGTCTCAAAAAAAAAAAAAAAAAAAAAAAAAAAATAGCCATGGTGACCTGCCTTGCATCCCTATCCTATAAAGCCAGGAATGCTGGCTCTATATAGAGCTGGGCACAATCCATCACTGAAGGAAGTGAGGGCAGAAACTCAAGCAGGAGCTTGAAGTAGAAACCACAGGAAAGTTGCTCTCTGGCTTGGTAGATGTCTTATGTGTTGTTGACTTTGTGGTGCTGCCCACAGTGGGCTGGGCCACCTGTCTAGGGAATGGTGCTGCCCTCAGTGGGCTGGGTCACCTGTCTAGGGAATGGTGCTGCCCTCAGTGGGCTGGGTCACCTGTCTAGGGAATGGTGCTGCCCTCAGTGGGCTGGGCCCACTTGCAGCACTTAACAACCAGAACAATACACATCCACAGACCCACAGAACAACCCATTAAAGACAGTTACTGAATCGCAGTCCTCTTTCCAGTCTGCTGTAGGCGGTGTCCAGTTGACAGTCAATACTAACTTGGACATTACCTTTTTCATTTTCTTTTTTGAGGCGGGGTCTAATGTAACCACAGCGGGTCCTGAATTCCCACCATAGCTGAGGATGACTTTGAACTTCTACTCCTCCCTCTGCCTCCCAAGTTCTGGAATGATAAGTGTACATTTCCATGGCTGGTTTAAATAGTGCTGGGGATGGAACCCAGGGTGGCATGCATGCTAGACCTTGACTCTTCTTATTGCTGTTGTTTGGGACAGGGTCTCTCTAGCCTAGGCTGTCCTGAAACTCACTATGTAACCACTATGGCTTTGAATTCACACTGATCCTCCTGACTCCACCTCCTCAGTGATGGAATATAAACCTGTGCACAATGCTTGGCGTCGCCTGCCTCTTAGGGTGACGTTACTATTGACTCCCCACCCAGGCTGGACCAGCCTCTTATTGGAGTTTGAGTTGAGGTGTTGGGGGGTGTCTCCTGAAACCCAGGTTGTCCTAGAACTGTCCTTGAATTCCTAATCCTCCTGCTTCTGCCCCTGAAGTACTTGCATCACAGGTCTGTTTAGTATCCTTCCAGTTTAGGCAGTGCTGGGAATTGAACCCAAGGCCTCTGATGTTCTGGGGCCAGCACTCTACCCACTGAGCCACACCCTCAGTTCTCATTTGTGTTTGAACACTCCCCTTTCTTTGTGGCTTCCCCCAGCCCTGGAGAACAAGTGCAAATCGGGAGAGAAGAAGATGGACTCAATCCTGAAGGAAAAGAGGCGTCTAGAGGCAGAGCTAGAGGCTGTGTCTCGGAAGACCCATGATGCCTCGGGCCAGCTGGTACACATTAGCCAAGAGTTGCTACAGAAGGAGCGGTGAGTGGTTCAGGGCTCAGCTCCAGGAGGCTGCAAAGGCCCCTTCCTTCCTCCCTCCCTCCCTTCCTTCCTTCCTTCCTTCCTTCCTTTCTTCCTCCCTTCCTTCCTCCCTCCCTTCCTCCCTCCCTCCCTTCCTCCCTCCCTTCCTTCCTTCCTCCCTCCCTCCCTCCCTTCCTTCCTCCCTCCCTCCCTCCCTCCCTTCCTTCCTTCCTCCCTCCCTCCCTCCCTTCCTTCCTTCCTTCCTCTCTTCCTCCCTCCCTTCCTCCCTTCCTCCCTTCCTCCCTCCCTTCCTCCCTCCCTTCCTTCCTCTCTTCCTCCCTCCCTTCCTTCCTTCATTTCTCCCTCCCTCCCTCCCTTCCTTCCTTCCTTCCTCTCTTCCTTCCTTCCTCCCTTCCTTCCTCCCTCCCTCCCTTCCTCCCTCCCTTCCTCCCTTCCTCCCTCCCTCCCTCCCTTCCTTCCTTCCTTCCTTCCTTCCTTTCTTCCTCCCTTCCTTCCTCCCTCCCTTCCTCCCTCCCTCCCTTCCTCCCTCCCTTCCTTCCTTCCTCCCTCCCTCCCTCCCTTCCTTCCTCCCTCCCTCCCTCCCTCCCTTCCTTCCTTCCTCCCTCCCTCCCTCCCTTCCTTCCTTCCTTCCTCTCTTCCTCCCTCCCTTCCTCCCTTCCTCCCTTCCTCCCTCCCTTCCTCCCTCCCTTCCTTCCTCTCTTCCTCCCTCCCTTCCTTCCTTCATTTCTCCCTCCCTCCCTCCCTTCCTTCCTTCCTTCCTCTCTTCCTTCCTTCCTCCCTTCCTTCCTCCCTCCCTCCCTTCCTCCCTCCCTTCCTCCCTTCCTCCCTCCCTTCCTTCCTTCCTTCCTTCCTTCCTCCTTTCCTCCCTCCCTCCCTTCCTCCCTCCCTTCCTCCCTCCCTCCCTCCCTTCCTTCCTCCCTCCCTCCCTTCTTCCCTCCCTCCCTTCCTTCATTTCTCCCTCCCTCCCTTCATTCCTCCCTTCTCTCCTTCCTCCTGTTTTTTTGTTTTGGTTTTTCAAGATAGGGTTTCTCTGTGTAACCCTGACTGTCCTAGAACTCACTCTAGACCAGGCTGGCCTCAAACTCATAGAGATCCTTTTTTGTGTATATGAGTGTTTTGCCTGCATGTATATCTGTGTACCCTGTGTGTGCCTGGTGGTCACGGAGGTCAGAGGAAGACATCATATCCCTGGGAAATTGAGCTACATTTGGTTGTTAGCTGACACATTTGTGCTAGGAATGGAACTCGGCTCTCCTGCAAGAGCAGTAAGTGCTGTAACCACTGATCCATCTCTCCAGCCCCCTCAGAGTCCCTTACACAGCTCTACAAGCAGCGCTTCTGATAAAGATGAGTGCCACCCCGTCATGGTCCTGTGGATGTCTTTCCACTTGTAAAAACAATTACGTTTTCTCAGGGAACTTCTGTGGGTTTTTTTTTTTTTTTTTTTTTTTCTTTTTAAGGGTTTGCTTATTTATGATTTCAGGCTTGCGTGCCTGAATGAGAGCATCATGTGTATGCAGGTACCCTGTGGAAGCTGGAAGAGGGAACATCAGATCCCCTGGATCTGGGCTTAAAGATGGGACTGAGAATCAAACTGAGGTCCTCTGAACGAGCAGCCAGGTTCTTAACCACAGAGCCATTTCTCAGGGCAGCCCCAGCTTTTGTTTTTTTCCAGATAGGGTCTCTCTGCATACCCCAGGCTTGTGTTGAACCCCCTAGTCCTCCTCAGCTTCCCATGCGTTAGGATTATAGGGGTGAGCCCAGCTCATCTAATATAAATAGCAAAATGTTTTTCAGGCTTTTTATTTTACTTTATTTTTGCTTTGTTTCCATTTCTTTAAATTTGATTGCATTTAATATATTTATTTATTTTATTTGCCTGTGGGAGGTTGTGTGTGTCACGCAATGTGTGTGAAGGCCAGAAGACCACTAGACAGGAGTCAGCTCTCTCCTTCCACTATATGGGTCCCAGGGTTTGAACTCAGGTCCTCAGATTTGGCGGCAAGTGCCTTCCCACAGAGCCATCTTACCAGCCCTCCTAAGACTTTTAAATACTTTTCCCACTTTTATTTCTAACCCCAGACTGGTAGCCCAGCACAATGCTGCGTGCCTGTGATCCCATCATTTAAGAGATTACGGTGGGGCCGAGGGATATGTGGCCCCATTGGTAGAGATGCTGGTATGCACGATATCCCCAATTCCGTGGACAACACCATGTACACCAGGCTCAATAAATGCCCTGTGACTAATCATCAACTTGGGAGAGGAAGGCAAGAAGGTCAGGAATTCACAAGGAGACTTAGAGGCCAGCCCAGGCTACATGAAACCCTGTCTCAAAACAAAACAAACAGAAAATCTTTAAAAAAAAAAAAAAAAAATCTGAGACTGGGGAGATGGCTGCTCTTCCAGACGATCCCAGTTTGATTCCCAGCACCTACATGGTGGCTCACAAACATCTATACCTCCAGTTCCACGGGGATCTTCTGGCCCCTGGGAACACACATCCATGAAGAACAAACACCCTTACACAAAAAATGTACAACAAAAATAAGCAAGTTTTTAAAAAACAAACAAATGAAACTCTTAAGAACAGCCAAGTCCTCTTGATCATCCTGCATCCAAAGGCTTTCCTCATGGGTGTGGCAGACTGGCCACATCCTTCCTGCTGGTCTCTGGCGCACCATTGATGGCGCCCCCTGGTGGTAGTGGGCCTCCAGGCACACGGCTCATACTACATTGCGGGGGGGTGCAAGCTGATACCCTGGTTCTATGACTATCTACTCACGCCAGGAGTCTGAATGAGCTGCGGGTGTTGCTGTTAGAAGCCAATCGCCACTCCCCAGGGCCTGAGAGAGACCTGAGCCGTGAGGTGCACAAGGCAGAATGGAGGATAAAGGAACAAAAACTGAAGGATGACATCCGGGGCCTGCGCGAAAAGCTGACGGGGCTGGTATGTGGCGGCAAAGGATGGGGGCAGGGTAAAGGGTTCTATGCTATCCTGCTGCCAGGCCAAGGAGACCAGTGACCTCCCAGAGTCACAGAGGGGGCTGAAAATCCAGTCCTCAAATATGTAGCAGTTAGGGAGAGTATACTCCAGGAGTCCCTTTTTAGACATCATAACTAGAGATGCCCCTACACCAACACACACACAGCCTGGTCTCTTCACAGCCAAAAGTGCACAAATCAGTTATATGTGGTGGGTAAAAAAATAAATAAATCCATGCAGGGAGGTAACCCATTAGAAACCAGGATCTGGTTCAGTGATGTGTGTGGTTGCATGCCAAGAGACTAAAGTTGCCATGGGTGGGGATGGAGGCAGGTGGTGACATTGGTGGCACAGGACAAAGCTGGTCCCACCCCTTCCCTTTTTAATTGGCATTTGCAGCAAGCCTGATGCCCCCAGCCGTCTCTGGCTTATGGATTGGGTCGACCTGAGGGGATGGGCCTTTTACCTGTGCACTTTGGATTATGGGGGTTAGAGGTGTTGTTTCTGGCCCTGGAGGAATCCACAGGCTGGAGAGCAAGGCAGAACAATAAAGGACATTTGGGGAACTAGAGATACGGTTCAGTTGGTGGTGTGCTTGAATGAAGTCCTGGGTTCTGTTCTCAGCACCTTATATAACCAAATGTAGTGACCTATACCTACAATCCCAGCACTGGGAAGGAAGTGTTTACGGCTACATAGCAAGTTCTGTGCCAGCCTGGACTACGGGAGACCTTGTTGCAGAAAACAATGAGCTCCTAAAGTAAATGGGATCCATCTAGTTTCGTACCTGGTCCTAGGTGTGGCAGTTAACGGGCCCAGCTGCCCTGCCAACGTTCTAGTCCAATGTTTAGCCTGGTTAGATGCCAGCACACACATGCACCCCAGGGTACGTGGGGCCCGTGTGGCTCTGTGACACAGGAGGAAGCAGGGTCCGGTGCTGGTGGGCTTTCCAAAGCCCTGGGGCTCCCAGGAAGAGCACAGTGAAAAGCAGGAAGCCATATGAAAAGCATGGGTCGTGGAGCCATGCATGGTGCGGTGTGCATAGATGCTCAGAGCTTGGCCTGACATCCTAGGTTGGATGGAGAGGAGGCTGGGACAGCCAGGTGCATCTTGGGATGCGTTGGTGGGAGGGCAGAGTGGAGTGAGTGAACACTGACCATCCTAAATCATTGTGGGGACACAGGAGACCCTTGTAAGGGTCTGGGGACAGATGGGAGGGGCATCGTATGGACTTGAGAGTGAGAGAGGAATACTGATGTCAGTTGACTCTGTGGCTTAGTTGGGAGCGAAGGACTCAGGTAAGACTGCGGAGGGAGGGTTTCGAATCTAGGGCTTGGAGAAGTTGTAAGGGGAAGTCTGGGGGAGGGGGACCATGTAAAGCCCAGAGGGGAGGTGGGGCCTGAGGAGTTTCCAGCTAGTACCCACACAGGCAGGTCCCATGCCCACACCTCCACCCTTCCAGGACAAGGAGAAGTCGCTGTCGGAGCAGAGACGCTACTCCCTCATTGACCCATCTTCAGCGCCCGAGCTGCTAAGACTACAGCACCAGTTGGTGAGCACGGAGGATGCCCTGCGGGACGCGCTGGACCAAGCCCAGCAGGTGGAGAGGCTGGTAGAGGCTCTTAGGGGCTGCTCAGACAGGACTCCGGTGAGTGCGCGGGGCTGCAGCCTCAGGGACACCCCATCAAGGGGAGGGTGGCCAAGTCCAGAAACCTCAGCCCCAAACGGGAGGCAACTCCATCCTGGGGACCCCAGTCTGACAGAGGAGAGTGGCCCAACACTGGACACCTCCCGCCCCCTCCTCCCCAAGTCTGAAGGACAAGACGGTGGCCTCATTTTAAGAACTCAAATCTGAAAAAGGAAGCAAGCAAAAGCTGCTTGGTTCTGAGCCTGGCTGGTCTCATTGGGAACTCCACTCCCTCTTGTGGTTACACGTGGAACTGCATCCTGGCCGCCTGCTCAGCAGCTCCCTCCCACTTCCCATCCTTTGCTCCCTCACAGACCATCAACAATTCTGGTTCTGCCAATGGTATCCACCAGCCAGACAAGGCCCACAAACAGGAGGTAAGCGCGCCAGCGGTCTCTCTAGGCCACCGAGCCTCTAAGAAAACCCTTGGAAGTCACCAAGGAACAAGAATGCTCTGTTTGTGTGTGTCCTGTAACAGTGGGGTTGCTTGCTTAGGAAGATTCTAGTACTAGTCTGTCCCATCCAGGAATGGTCCTGCTTTTCTTTGTTTCTGAGAATGGAACCCAGGGCCTTAGCATTGACCATATCCCCAGACCCTCACTTGAGGGATTCTAGGCAAGTACTGTACTGCTGAGCCACACACCAGGCCTTGGTTTTGGGAGGCCCAGTTTCCCATCTTTCCCCCAGCATCCACCCAAATTATTGCAAGCACCCATGATGGACTTAGCACCTGGTCTAGCAAGTATCTTAGCACCTTAGCGCACACAAGTAGCCGTGTGGCCCAGGCAGGTGAGGCTGGAGTGAAGGCAAACTCAGCTTGTTCCTTGACCTTCCAGCTATTCTGCATTTAACAAGGGTTGGGCTTGGGAACAAGGACTTTGAAGGCTGTCCCTAGCCAGGACAGCTGGTTGGGTTGGGGTGGCAGAGTAGCCGCCACTCTGGGAACTGTTGTTTAGACCACATGAGGGTTTGTTTTCTAGCAACATTGTAAGAAATATGGTCACCATAACTTCCAGATGGAAACTGAAGTTTGCAATCTGCTTCTTATTTTTTCTTTCCTTTTTGTTTTTTGTTTGTTTGCTTTGTTTTGTTTTTTTTGAGACAGGGTTTCTCTGTGTAGCCTTGGCTATCTCGGAACTCACTTTGTAGACCAGCCTGGCCTCAGACTCTCACAGAACCCCCCTGCCTCTGCCTCCAGAGTGCTGGGACTAACGGCATGCACCGCCACCGCCCAGCTTGCTTCTTTTTTCTTCAGATCCATCCTCCAGAAAGATTCTTGGGTCTCCATATAGAATCCAGGCTTTTCCTGCCACAGGGCCTTGACACATGCTGTTCTGTCTACCCAGCATGCTCTCTTCCTTTGGTCCCTCCCTCATTTCCCCATTCATCTTTCAAGACTGTTGACGATCAAACCCTTGTTCTCTCTAGGACAAACACTGACCCCAAGGAACGCCATGGACCGGCCCCATTCACACCAGAGCCCTGCCAGGCTTCCTAGCGGCTTCGCCTCCAGGCAGGAGCCAGAACTGTCCCTTTGGAGATGAGACTGTTTGTATTGTCTGCACAGCTGTGGACAATTCCCACCTGAACCCCCTGCCGGACCAGGAGGCTCCCACAGAGTGCGGTACAGCTGGGACTGGCCCCGGAGAACCTCTCTTGTCCCAAGGCGCTTCTGGAATGTGCAGAGGCTGAAGTGATCCAGCCAGGCCTCCCTTGGCTATAGCAGGCTGTTCGGAGCTTGTCTGGGCACCCGGGTACTTGCCTGCCTCCCTTTCCTGCTGGTGTCCCCAGGCCCCTTGCAGGCCTCTAAGGGGTGGAGCAGGGTCCTGCTTGGACACACACACACACACAGACACACATACACACACACACACACACACACACACACTGAGAAGGGCTTCAGTCTTCAGAAACTAGGGAGGGTATTCTTGACCCCACTCGAGAGCCTCTTATACATTGGTACACGGTCTCTCGGGCCTCTTAGCCAGGGAAGGTTTGGAGGTGACAGACCCCTTCCTCAACAACAAGCTAGTGTGCATACTCACCTCCCACCTGCTGCCTGGAAAGAATCGTACAGACAGCTACAGTATTAGGTGAGCACGCAAACCCATTCTTCCTCCCATCTTGACCTTGAGCCAGGCCTGGCTTAGGGCGTGGAGCTGGGCAAGAACAGGTACAAAACTCTCTAAACAAAGCGTTCCTATGGTGTTTTGCTGGGGGAGAGAAATTGAACTGGTTCTCTTTATTTCTGGGAACCCCCTGACATGTTACCGCAAAGACCCCAGCAGCCCACGGAGGCCCCTGCTCCTATCTTCCCAGGACGGGACCATAGTGGGTGACAGGTATGGTTAAGTCATAAGGATGGCCTAGGTGGCCTCTTGGAGCACCACCCATCACCGGCAGGTGGCGCTCACGCTCTCGCCCTTAGGAGTTGAATTAACCTCTCTACCCTCCTTTCTGCTTCCTGTTGGCTTTTGGGTAGCACTCGCCTTTAACAACAGCAGCCTAGAGCCTAGAATTGATGTCATAGTGGCCTAACTGCAGAGCCAAATATTGCTCTTTCCAGCACAATCGGGCAGCTCACGGATTAGGAACTAACAGCCAAAGGCTCCCACAGTAGGGACCAGAAGGGGCTGAGCCCCACCCTGGATTGGGCTTGCACCTGGTAGGTGTGCAAGAAGCCATTTCCCCACAAGCACTGGCCTTTGCAGGCCCCCTTAGCCTACCTGGTGTGGCCACCCAGCTGTGGCTCAGCCATTATCCCCCCCCCCCAGTGGAATTGTGGAAGTGTGGCAAGTCCATGTTCGGACAATAAAGCTTGTGACTGAGGTACAGGACTCCTGCTGTGGCCTGCTTCTGTCTTGGACATCCTGGGGAGAGGAGTGGGTCCTAACTTTGCTCTCAACTGCAGGCTAAGGCTAATTTCTACTCAGGGAAGGGGAAGTGAGCGGGGAAATTCGCACACACTCATACACAGGCACACGTGCGTGTGCACATACACAAGCATATTTTTAAAGTCTGCAGGTGTCATAGATTTCTATTGCTGTAGTAAAAGTCTGTGAGCAGCTTGGGAAGAAAGGGGCTTATTTCAGCTTACAGTTCCACATCACAGTTCACAGGGACTCGAGCAGGGCAGGAACCCAGAGACAGGAACTGGAGCAGAAGCCGTGAAGCGGTGCTTGCTGCCGTGGTTTGCTCAGCCTGCTTTCTTATGCATGCCAAGATTACCTGCCCAGGAGTGGCGCTGTCCCCAGTAAGCTAAGTGTTCCCGTATCATTCCTTAAGAAAATGTCCACAGACTTACCTACAGGCCAATCCGGTGGGGCCATTGTCTCATCTGAGGTCCTGTCCTCGTTACTTGTCCATTGTTGTGACAGCGCTGTGACCAAGGTGACTTACGGAATAAAGCATTTAATGAGGCCTACGGTTTCAGAATGCACATCTATGGCTGTCATAGGGAGCGTGGTGGCAGGTAGCAGGCAGGCATAGAACAACAGAACTGAGCATGGGCATTGGAAACCTCAAAGCCCACCCCCAGGGCACCTCTTCAACAAGGCCACACCTCCTAATCCTTCCAGAAAGATTTCACCAACTGGGGACCAAATATTCAAACATGAGCCTATGGGAGCCACTTACATTCAAAGCACCACATCCCATTCCGTGGCCCCCATAGGCTTGTGCCCAGATCGTAATGCAAAGTACACTCGGTCAGCTTCAAACGTTCCTGTAATTCTTCTGTCTCAACACAGTCCCAAAGGCTCTCCTGAGACCTCAAGGCAACATCTTAATTGTAAGCTCCTGTAAAACTAAATTACATACTTCTGTAAGTGGTGGGGGGCAGAGAAACTACCAAACCTTATCTCTCCATGTGTGGGAAGATTTCTGGGCTGGAGAGATGACTCAGTGGGTAAGTACTCTTCCAGAGGACCCAGGTTCAATTCCCAACACCCCCATGGCAGCTCACAACTGTCTGTGACCCCAGTTCCAGGGGACCTGACACCCTCACACAGACAGACATTCAGACCAGACCAATTATGTAAAAGTAAATCTTAAAAAAAAAAATAAAAGCCAGGTGGTGTAGTGAGATAGGCCTTCTGTAGCACTGACCACGCCCATTGGGGGTGGAGCCATGGGCGGAAGTGACCTGTGGAAGGAGGTCGGAGGGGGCCAGGAAAGGCGCTCTCTTGCTGGCGTGACTCGGACAGGAGAGGATCGGGTTGAATTTCCTGGTGTTCATCTGTCTAGGTTGTAAGTTATTTCTCCCTGAATAAACATCTATTCGGCCTATTTGTTTATCCTGATCCTTATTTACCGCAATAAGGTGGTGGTGCACACCTTTAATCCCAGCACTCAGGAGGCAGAGGCAGGTGGATCTCTGAGTTAAAGACTGGCCTGGCCTACAGACCTAGTTCCAAGACAGCTAGGTCTGTTACAGAGAGACCCTGACTCAAAAAAACAAAATATGTATGTACATATGTATATTGGGGATCAAACTGACAGGACTATGTCTTGCGGCGGGGGCAGAGAGACGAGCAAACTGGTGGAAAATCGAGAAGATTTTGTATGACAGCTGGCGGGGATCTGAATTAACACAGGCTGTGTGACTCACCAGGAGCTAGGTGTCCTTCCTGAGGTAACTGGCATCTTGGTGGAAGGTTATGGAAGGTTCCCGGAGGATTAAAGGTAGTTCCTGGTAAACAGAAACCCGCCTTTAAGTTTGCTTTCTGGATTACAGCCCTAATGCGTTAGAGTGACCACTAATAACCATGGCAGAATCCTTATTAGGCTGCCTTGAAATCTCTTGACAACAGAGTTAATCCAAAACTCTTCATTTCCATCTCAAACGCAGTCTCAGCGCAAGGGCAGAAAGCAGTCATGTTCTTTGCCAGAATATCACAAGGATGATTTTCTCACCCAGTGGCTAATGTTCCCCCTGAGGCCCCTTGAGCAGGACCTCCCTGGCCCACAGCTCTCAGCAGTACTGTTTTTCCTGTTCCTCCCAGGGTGGCTCACTAAGCCCAGTTACAGCATTCAGTGCTCTCCTAGTGCAAAGTCCCAAGCAGGGACCAGGCTGAGCTGAGGCCCCAGGGCCATCAGGAGTGCTGCGTATTGGTCCTTTACACATGTACTGGGTATCACATGACAAGAAGGTGTGGCAGCCACTCTATGGGCTCCGGGTGAGAGGGCTATACCCCTTCATCGGTGTGTCTGAGCGCAAGTTCTTGGGCCTTATTTTCCTCTTTTTCTTTCTTTTATTCGTTTCTTTTTTTGTTTTGTTTTGTTTTTATTTGTTTGTTTTTTGTTTTTTTGAGACAGGTGTTGCTTTTTGAAACAGGGTTTCTCTGAGTAGCCTTGGCTGTCCTGGAATTCACTCTGTAGACCAAGCTGGCCTTGAACTCATGTAGATCTGTCTGCCTCTGCCTGCCAAGTGCTGGGACTAAAGGTGTGTGCCACCACGTCCAGCTCTTATTAGATTTTTATATTCTTGGTTGTGAGCCTAGTCTTTAATGGCTGAGCCATCTCTCCAGCCCCTAATAAATATTTTAAAGCATCCATATGCTCCTACAGTCCTTGTTCATCCTGAAGGATGGCACCCTAATTAAATTAATTTTAATTTTTAAAATTTTATTTATTTATTTATTTTGCTTTTTGAGGCAGGGTCCTGGAACTCACTGTGTAGATCGGGCTGGCTGGGAACTCATAGAGATCATCCTGCCTCCACCTTCTGAGTGCTGGGACTAAGGGTTTGCCCCCTCACACTCAGTTACTTGGTTTTCTACTCCCGGGAATAAGTCACTTGCTAGTGTGTGCTCCGTGGCTGGTGCTGGATGGATGATGGTAGCTGCAGATCCATTCAGGAGCAGTCATCCTCTGGCCCCAAAGTGGATTCAAATGGTGGCAAACAAACCTCAGGGCCGGGGGGGGGGGGGGGAAGTAAAAAAAAAAAAAAGCAGTTTTACCCAGTGTGGAGTAACCGACATCAGGGTCCAGCCTGTTGTCAGCTCTAGCTTGCACAGTAAAACCAGGCTGGGTGGAATGAAGGGGGGAGAGGAAGAGAAAGAGGAGGAAGGAGGAGGAAGAGGATGAGATGGAAGAGGGAGAGAGGGAGGAGGAGGTTGGGGAGGAAGAGAAGGAGGGGACGGGAAATAAGGAGAGAGAAGAGATTAGAGATGGGAAGGATGAATGGGCAGAAGAGAAAGGAAAATGCGAAGGAGAAAGGAGGGGAGTGAAGAGGACAAACAAGGAGGAAAATGAAACATATACAAGGTAGGTATAGACATAAACAAGACTTAGAAATAGTCTAAGTCTTGCATGCAATGCACAGAACTGCCACAAGGTGTCTCCCTCAGCTCTTGCACCTTCTGGTCCAGCCCCATCTCTACAGGGCACAGAAGGCTTTAGGACCTGCCTGGCAAGCCAGCACCGGAAGGGATAACGTAGGTGTCTCCGCTCCTGGCCCTAGAGTTCCCTGTCCTCAGGAGTCACCAGGCTTTGTTCAGACCCCTATATGGGCATCCATCTTCCATCCCAGCAACAGAAGCTGGCTAGAAAGGGGTCACTTGTTCTGTCTCCGGGGCTCCTTCAGGTAGGACTTGATGCTCCTGGGCTGACCCCCTCCCTAAACCCCTGTTCCTTGTCTAGCAAATCTCCGAGGGTGACTCAAAATGTCTTCATTAGGGTCCTTGCTGAATCAAGACAGCATAGTTCTAGACTGTCCTCTGGAACCCTGGGCAAGGCTTTCCATTCTTTCTCTTATGTGATGGACTTGCTGCCCCCCATTCTGTCCTCAGAATCACCCTCAGAACGCTCTCCCTGGCTCAGCAGCTGCCCTTCCCTCTGCCCCACTGGAACTACTCTGCCCTGGATTTCCCAGGCTCTTCGGGTACCAGGAACATTTTCCTATGTCCCCGCTCAGTCCACACACTGCACCCTCCGCTTTCTGTTCTTCTCTCCTTGTCAAAGCTCCAGTTGTCAAGGTGACACACCAGGAAGAGGGAACCACAGCTTTGGAATTGCCTCTGCCAGACTGTCCTGTGATCCTGCCTTGGGGGCCGTTTGTTTACTCGCTGGTTGATGTTGGGGGGCTCAGCCCACTGTGGGAAGTACCATTCCTAGGCAGCTGAACCTGGTAATACATGAAAGGTAGCTGAGCAAGCCAGGAGAAGGAAGCCAGTAAGCAGCAGCATCCCTCCAGGCTCTCCGATTCAATTCTGGTCTTGAGCTCCTGCCCCAGCCTCCCTCCATGATGAACTGTAACCTATAAGCCAAATAAATTCCCCATCCCCAATTTGGTTTGGTCAATGTTTTATTACAGCAACAGAAAGCAAATTAGGACCCCCTTCATCCTGTCCTAGCCTCTTTCAGTGCCCACTCTGGCCTGGTCCTCAGTTTCTAGCTCAAGCCTCACACACTTACATGGACACACACACCTACACACATGGACATCCACTGACACAATATATGTGAACACATATACTCATAATTAACCACACATTAAATACTCGTGCAAGTGTATATATTGATACCTACACATACATACAGTCATGCACACAGTACCACACACACATGCATATAATTATCCACATATGCACACATGTATCTAGATTTACATGTATATTACATATACATGTATTGTGATGGCTATTCTTTTGTTTTTGTGTTTTGTGTTTTTGGTTTGGTTTTTCAAGACAGGGTTTCTCTGTATTGCTTTGGAGCCTGTCCTGGAACTAGCTCTGAAGACCAGGCTGGACTTGAACTCACAGAGCTCCACCTGCCTCTGCCTCCCAGGTGCTGGGACTAACGGCATATGCCACCAATGCCCAGCTTGTGATGGCTA